AGTCTCCTCAGTGCCCAACACCTCAATCAACTATGCCAAGGTCATCAAGGAGCATGGGTACGTCTACGTCTTAGCCTCGTTTCATCAGTTTAAAACCCTAAAAATGCATTCCTTTTTGTTCACTTGGAGCTTAACCTTGACTTCACTGTTTTTTTCTTCTTCCTCATACCCCAGATGACATCCTGGTTCACTCTTTGATTCCCTGTCTAAAATTCTTTGCAGTGAGAATTTAGTAAACACATGGTTTAACTGTTATCGTTTCTCTGCTGTTCATCCAGTGTGTTTTTGCCCGTGTCTAAACTTACAGTCTATGCTTCTGTTTGAATAGTTTAATACTCTGTCTAAGAATAATTTACACAGGAAGAATTTAAAGGATTTAGGGCATTGGGCTTGTGATCAGAGGACTGCCGGTTGGAATCCCATGACCAGCAGGACTGTGGTGTGTTAAGTAAGCACCAAAAATGTCGCTACTTACAGGGAGCAGCCCACCGCTCCTGCGTGTGTGCTGTGGATCAGAGAGCAACGTTTTGTTCTTGTGATGGGATTCAGTTGTACAGAGCAGCTGCACGTGGTTGAAGACATATCTTTAGCAGCAGCTGCTGCTTACACTTAAAAAAGGAAATACATTGGAAAAGATCAAAAGTCTAATCACTGATAAGCATAGGCAATGAGTCAACTTTTCCATTTGAAACGTGTGTGTCTCTGTTAGCATTTCCTTATCTGGTGGCTAGATTGCTTGAGCCTGTGCTTGTCAAATCTTCTTTTAGGGCTGAATTCTTTGACAAAGATGGTGTGATGAAGGATATCCGAACAATATTTCAAGTCTACAGCGCACTGCAAGATAAAGTCCAGGTGGGCCGAATGACAGCATTCTGAGTTGAACATTTGTTCTTCAGATGTCATTACGTGTGTGTGGTGAATTTTTATATACCTGTGTCCCTTTAAGGCTGTGTGTGGGGATGTAGAACAAAGTGAACGCGTCAAAGAGAAAATTCAAGAAGATGTAAAAAAACTCAAGCAACAAATCACTCTCAGGAAACGCAAGACAGCAGAGGAGGAGAAGAGTATGTATCTGTTCACACATGAGAATTAAAATTAACAGAAAAACAAACCTTAACAATTAAGGTCAGACTTAATATGTCTCTCCACATAAGCAAGATAATTTTCAATTAAGACCAAAAATATGTTGTCCTACCTTAAGATGCTTTACATTTTCACCCGCTGAAGTTCTTCCCTTTTCTACACAGGGCTCCGAGAGGCACAAAACTCCGATTTAGTTTCTACTGGAGAGGAAAACACTGAGCTGTCTGAAGCTTCCCTTCTGTCCAGGATGTCCTTCCATACACCGTCTGCACCAGAGCGCCCCAGTACCTCACCTAACCCACCACCTTATGCTGACCTCTTGATGCAGGACGACTCTCTACCCTCGTCTTCTTCACCGCCCACCAGCGCTGCTCTCCTGCCCCGGCCCCAGGCTGTGGGCTCACCTGGACACCCTACACCTGGCCCACTAGGTATGGTCCTGGGCCTCGGGCTCGGCCTAGGCGCCAGCTCCAATTCTGTTACTACTCCCAGCAGCCCGTACCTGGGTAACGGTGACGGATCGAGCTCAGATTCATTAGACAGACAGGCGGCAGGGCAGGAGGATGACGACGACGATGAAGACGAAGACAGTAGCGAATATGAGAATCTTGTGAGTGAAACAGCTCATCTGCCAATTGTCGCTGCCAGCACTTTAACTCAAGGACGGCCGGCTGCCCTTGGACCTGATGGGGACTCTCGAGGCTCACAGACCACATAGAAGCATGCCACAGGGCGTGGAGGGGACAAACATATAAGTGAGGCACCTGGAGAGGTGGAAATAGTAAGCAATCAAAGTTGAGACAAATGTAGACAAAGGAAGTGCCAGTCCTGAGAGCATAAGGCATGTACAATTCGTGTCCCACCGTGTGAATTTCTTCTTGTCTTAGTCCAATCTCCATTTTTCTTGGGGAAACCTTGCCAGGCTTCACAAGCTTACCAGACATGTCTCACTGTCAGAGGGTTGACTGTTTTCATTATTGTTCTTTTTGGGATGAGGTGTTTTTTTTTCTTCTTCTGTTCTTCAGTGTGGTTTTGCATGGTTTCAGGGTTAAGGGTGGATATTGGATCACGATGTATGCCAACTGGTTGGCAAGGCCACTGACCTAAAGACAAAGCCTTCTCCACTTCTGCTGTTTGTTTTTGTTTTGCTCAACAACACTCAGCACCAACAGTTTCTTTACATTTTGCACTATATTTTGCCATTTTCCAAACACACATAATCAAAGAAAAACATTGGGAGAGTTATTTATGGCCTTCGGTTTCTATTCTAATTTACTAGGCAATTGGTGAACTTGTTTATTTTTAATTTGAAATAAGAATTTTATATATATAAATATATATAATGTTATTTGTCATGACTTTTTCAGTCTCAAGGCAAGAATTGTCTAAATAAATGGTGACTAGATTGCAACAATTTACTTACCACTTCTATAATCGGTGCTATATATACAGTATATAGGCACATTAACACGTAAACTAATTTAAAAGACAATAGTGTCATTGTCTAATTCTTATTTGATAACACTTGAGCTTATATGTGCTTTGCTGCTCTTAACAAAAATAACTAAGGTTTCTTTATGATTATTGTGCTATACCAATGCTTTCATGTTGTGCCATTTAAGTTAGTCCTCAGTGACAACCCTGAGCCAAACTCGGCTTAGCTTTTGTGCATTGTACAGGGTTTACAGGGCAAACGAAACAAAATGTACTATAGCTTTACTAACTACACGCTTATGGTTCACTCTCCGCCGCGTCTGCTGCGGTGACACTGAGAGCTGCCACTAAAACAGCATTTGTCTACAGTCCATGTAAAATCAGGCTGCTACTATCTTGTCCCGATTGTCTCTAATACTACTGATAGTTGTCCTTACTAGTTTAAGCACATGTCTTGTTCTCTATCAAAGCTGCATCAAAGGGCCAACGCCGCCTCTGGCGTTTGCATTTTAACCTCGAAAGCAAGAGCAGGCCATTACCTTCCTGTATCTGTGTAGCTGACAGCAGACCTTGCGTATTGTAACCTGGTTGGGTCACTGCTCTGAGTGGACCTGGACAATGTGATGACATTACGACTTCTCTTCTGTGTACTGTGCCTTTCACTCAGGGTAGTTTATTTTTGCATAAAGTCCACACGTGTTGTGTTTCCAATAACTGACTGTCTGGGATTCCCTTCCACTCATCCCTCTCCTCAAGGTGTTCTCTTCTGTGCCTGAAACAGTCTTCTCCTCTTTCTAAAGCTTGGACAGGATTACATCTGTGATATTTCTTACTGCATCATTTAACTAAAAACAGATCGAATGAAATGTCATCAATTGGAATTCATTTGAATGCAGGGAGCCTTGATGTAAGTCAACAGTAATGGCAGAATCAATGGGATGTTTTCAAAAGTCTATTTAAGTTTAAGGCAGTGGTTCTCAGACTTTTTAAGTCAATCCCCACTTAAAACAAGTTGGGATTTTTAAGCTATTTCCTTAAACAACTTGTGGACATAAAAATGCATAATTCCACATCCCAATTATTTTTTTAAACCAACTGAGGTGAGGATTTTCCAGGTACAGGATTTCGACACCCTTTTTTGTTGCATGAATTAGGCATTTTCAATCCAGATCGTTTTGTATTCAGCATGAACTGATGTTTGCTGTGCACGTGCAAGCCAAGACACTTTTTGTGAGGAGAGGCTTCACCTAGTAAACAAGCCCTACTTTATTCAAACAAGTGTGTAATATGTATTGGGTTTTTTCTTTTTTTTAATCCTTTGTTTATTTTAATTGCCCTGTTGTGTAATAGGTCACAGATTGACTGGCACTCATAAGTCATTGTGTAACTACTATAAGTAATGAAATAACACAACTGTAAAAGAAATGACAAAATCAATGTTGTAGAAATACTGATTCTATGGAATATAATCAGCACATAAAGAATTTATAACATGCGAGGCATACGGTAGCATTTAAACAGCACTTAATGTCTGACCTTGTCTCAGTTTGAGTGTTGTGACATGAAGCAGCAATTCTCAGTGTCAGTCCTCACTTTTAAATATGCTCTGCTATGTTATTGCTTGAGTCTTACTTTCTGGCATTCACAGGTTTAACCACGAAGAGGGTGGCAGAATAAAAACCAGTAACACTCCACCACCGAAGGTCTCTGGTATATAAGAGGACCATCGTACAAATATACATCAGTTACCCTATTCAAATGGATTATCCATTTATTCCCCCTGTGGACTATTGCAACATTGACACATCCCTGTAGCGCAACGTCCAGTAGACAGCTGAAAATCAGTTTTCACCTGATTCTGTATGCTTGATGATAGTAGACAGAATACTTGTTTGAATGAGCACAGAGTATATGGTAATAACAGTTGAGGAGGGAAGTAATAAATGAGACATGCTTATGTTATACAATGGTGCTCTGTTTTCTTCTTAAACTGACTAACTTCAAAGGTAGGTGTATGTGCTTTAAAATGACTTCACAGAGAAGATTTGACTCTACAGAGGTTGAGCAATATACTTAATACAATACGTGTATAGTATGTGTGTTACTTAATATATATTAAGTTAACTTATACACATTTATAGTGTTAAGCCTTTACAGCCGTGATATACTTCAAATAAAAATTAAGAATTGCCTAACACTTTAGTTGTTGATGCAATGACAATACATCATGTATAGTTTTTTTTTCTGATGTCCTGGTTTGTTCTTGATAGCCTCCCTTTATCAGAAATCTCATAACAGATTTGATGAAATAGAAGTACAGGCTCTGATGAGCGATCAATGACAGATAATGGTATTTAAGTTGTTTTCAGCATTGTTACATTAAAGGAATTACCTCAATGCTGAGAAGCGTGGTTGGTATGGTGTTGATATATATATATATTAACTTTTAATATGTCCCTGAAAATGCAGCCTCTAAACTAAAAGACCTTTGCTCATATTTTAGTGGGAATGTAGTTATCCCCAGGACTGAGGGCTGATTAAGCAATAGCAATAAGCAATAGCAATATGTAAAAAAAATTGCTTAAATTTTTGTCACCATGTAGTTTCTTGCAAAAATCTATAATAAATTAGGTAAAACAAACTATTTGTAACGAGCCTGACAACTTCAAAAATTCGTTGGTAGGTTCAAAGCAATCTGAAAAAATTACTCTGAAACAGACATTGACGCTGCAGACGGTTCTGTGGACGTATATTTCATTGATGAGCAGGTTATTTTATTGCAAATTCAGAATTCAATTCAGCAAAATTAAGAATTCAATTCAATGACCGTGTGTATATCGGCCAATGATAACAATAGTGATAATAATGACAGTTACAATTCAAATCTTTGAAGCGTTGCTCCAGCTGTCATATGTTACTGCAGAATCGACTTGCTGCAGTATTTTTCGATGACATCATCCCTTTTACCCTTTGAGGACACTACGTGGGAACTGGCCGATGACGCAACGAGTCGCGAATTCAGAAGAAACAAATCTAATTTTAACGCAGTAGGATCGTCGAGAAAAAAAAGTCTTCTAACCGAATTGTTTTTCATTGTGACTAAGGTATCTGTTTTGGTTCAACTGAGCCCTTTAACAGTATGAATGAGAGACAGGAATTTCGATTGGTCGTTGTCCAGGGATATACAAAAAGCAGCCAATCACAATATGCGGCAGATTCAGGTGGTAAATCCTGATCCCGCCTCTCTCACTGTAGCGACCCATAGTGCTCTGCTCTGTATTTTTCTGCCTCCCTCAGTCGAAAGCTTTCACTGTGCCGCCATTAAAGCCCTTCAGCTTCGCATTTGGAAAAGGGGAAAGGGGCAAAATGATTTAAGGCGTTAAAGAAAAATACGGACGAGGGACGGGAGCAGGGGTGGGGGGTTCTGTGCTCCGCGGAATTTATGGATGGACCTCGGATTGGACTTTAATATGCGGCTTGTCACGGCCAAGTGAGAGAAGCCTGAGTTCGGATTTGAGTGGGTTCTTGTGGTCGGGGGGGCGGGGGAGCTCCGGGAAGCTCCGTTTGTTTTGGCCGTGGTGTGAAAGTAAGGAGTGTAAACACAGCTAAGGTAAGGCTTTTTTTACCGACACTTCGGCACACTCTATACGGGCCTTTCAAACGGTTGCAGGCGACTAGCTGACAAACATTATCCTCGTAAGGCTGTCGAGCAAACAGAGCTAACATTGCTATAAGTCCTCTGTGACAACCTAACGACCGTAGTGTAGGCTTCACGAAACACAACGAAAAATACATCGTGTTATGTTTACACTTGATGTAGCCGTAGCTGCTAGTTCATTAGTAAATACCAATAATAGGTGACAGGAGCGATGCTAGAAAATGTTAGTCTTAATGATAGAATATAATGAAAACCTAAATCATAGTTTTCATTATATAATTTTGACGAGGCGTAGACAATATTTTTGTAAACAACTGTTTTCATCATTGGTATCACTACAGATAGAGGTGCTGTTTTTCTGAAGAGCACAATCACAAACAAAAAAATTAATTTCGGTTTTTCTACTGTTCATGTAGATACTAAGTCAAGTCACCAAGACATCCAAACCAAACACTTTTCTCTAAACCTGACCAAACAGGCTAGGTACAGATATGCATACCTAAATCTATTTGCCCTTTTTGCTTTTCAGTGGGATGTCTAGCAAAATAATACATTTGTTTTGATACTACATTCAAGGTCTCGTAACAATGATATTGGTATTAGGAAGAGGCACTGACTACAGGGTAGACAGATGACCTGTCAATAAAAAAATGATATTGGTATTAGGAAGAGGCACTAACTACAGGGTAGACTGTCAATAGAATAAAATAATACATAAGGTAGAATTGCATGTAATATCATTGCACCTTTACATACATATACTTAAAATATGTATTTGGGAGAGAGCTGTGAAATGTAATTACATAATTGTATATTGTTTATAGATATTTATTTGTATAAAAAATTATCGTTGATTATCCTTCACTATTATTTTGTTATAATTAGTAATATTTTATTATTTTGGCATCTGTGAGGCATCATTGTTGTTAAAAGCTGAAAATGTTATTTTAACTAAATGCTGAGCTGACAAAATCAATTGAAAGCATCTACCAGTGAAGGACAAAACATGTTAACTATCAAAATTGGAAATTGTCTGAGCATTTTTACCCAAAGTCACACTACCCTTCCTAAACATATTTATTTAGACATTTTAGTCATGATAGCCACAATAACATTGCCTATAACAAAGATTATATTCTACCATCCTAATTTCCTTTCTTGGAGTAGGCAGATCCAAGAGGAGATGGAATAACAAAAACTTCAGCTTCATATGTAGGTGATGGGGCAAATACAGTTTCAGTGCATCATTAAGTGTCTCACCAGTCACATGGCTCCCTGTTAGGTGTCTGGTTTCATCTGCCCTTGCCTCCTGTTACTCAGCAGGGTTCTAGGACACATTTCTACACAGTATGTATGTGTTTAAAACCAGAGTCCTCGTGCAGGATAATTGTCCTATTTTGCGTCTTGCATCTGCAGGAGTCTCTTCATAATGTGCTCCTTTCGAGTTTAACCATAGTGAAGAAGTCAGACCCAGTGTACACAGCACTGTATATTATTGGATGTGTCAGACACTGAATGGTTCAACTGCTGAACTGCACAGATGGCTCTAATAAAGATTGCTTTGTGTTTTGTATCTCACTGCCTTTCTTGAGAGCTATACAGCTAAAGACGTTTCAAGAATTGGTCCTAATATGTTTTTTGATAATGTAGAGTCGAGAAATTTAATATATTTACAACATAACCGCACACGATTTTTTGCTGAAACACTGCTTTTTTGTCTTCTTGGTGAACCAGTGCTGTGTGACCTCCTTGAGAGTGGATCTGCCGTACTGAGAGCCCCTCTAAACGGCAGGAAGCTTCCTTCAGTGGCGGTGCGACGATGACTGAGCTGGTTGCCAAGTGGGCCTGTGAATACTGCACATACGAGAACTGGCCGTCAGCTATCAAGTGCACCATGTGCCGCGCTCAGAGGCCCAGTGGGGGTGCCATCATTACTGAGGAGCCCTTTAAGAGCAGCCCTTCTCTGGATGCGAGTCTGCATCAGTGGGACCCAGCAGGCTTCAGCAACAGCCCTCCCCAAGGGGGCTCCAGCTTACTCATCTGTCCAGATTCTAGTGCCCGACCCCGTGTCCGCATTGCTGACGTACCTGAAACTAGTAGCAAGTGGTCATGTCACATGTGTACCTACCTAAACTGGCCTCGGGCCATTCGTTGTACTCAGTGCCTGTGCCAGAGACAGCATGCTCAACACCAACAACAACACCAACAACAACTGCAACACCAGCAGCAGCAGCAACAACAACAACAACAACAACAGCAGCAGCAGCAACAGCAACAACAACAACAACAACAACAGCAGCAGCAGCAACAACAACAACAACAACCGCAGCAGCAGCAGCAACAACAACAACAACAACAGCAGCAGCAGCAACAACAACAACAACAACCGCAGCAGCAGCAGCAACAACAACAACAACAACAACAGCAGCAGCAGCAACAGCAACAACAACAACAACAACCACAACAGCAGCAGCAGCAGCAACCACAACAACAACAACAACAACAGCAGCAGCAGCAACAACAACAACAACAACGACAGCAGCAGCAGCATGGGCAACATGCAGCACATCAAGGACATCATACACAGCAGCCACGCAGCCCCACAGAATCACCCCATACCTCAGGCTCTGGTTGTCGCCCTCCTCCGGTGGCTACCACAACAGATCCCTGTGAGGAATATAATGACCGAAACAGGCTTAACACTCATGTACTGCACTGGCCATGTACTGCTTGTACATATGAGAACTGGGCCAAGGCACAGAAGTGTGTGGTGTGTGACCACCCCAGGCCAAACAGTTTGCTTGCTGATCCGATTGAACTGGCGTCAGAACCTGAGAGCCAACAACCTTCCTCAATACTAAATGAACAGGATAGAGACAACAGGAGGGGGGTTGTTGGACTTGTGGTTGGACAAGGCGTTGGGAATATAGTTGGGGGACTTGGAGGTTGTAGTAGCAGCCAAAGGAGATCTCCACCAACATCAAAACGGGAATCAGAGATGAACATGGACTTTCAAAGGATTGAATTGGCCTCCGGAGCTGGAGTAGGGAGCCAAGAGGAGTTGGAGGTCGATTTCAAAAAACTGAAGCAGATAAAGAACAGAATGAGAAGGACTGATTGGCTCTTTCTCAATGCTTGTGTTGGTAAGTGTCAAAAATATAGTTGTTTTCTTTTCATTGTAGTTCTTTACCACTACTTGCCAGTAGTCGCAAGTAGGTGGTGATGGGTTAAGTTTTAAATGATGAAGAGCAAGACTTTTTTTTTTCAGGTATTCCCAGAGGAATTATTACTGTCTTGAGGTCATTTGTTTGAATCATTTTCTTTGCCAAGCATAGGTGATTCAGATTCCTAATCTGATGGTCTGGATTTATATAATATATATATAATACTTCGTAGATATGCTCAGAAAAATATTTTACATTGCATGGGGATAGAAAAAAGACAGCTGTTAAAAATAAGAATAAAAAATATTTTATATAAAATGTTATATATATATATATATTATAAAAATATTTAAAGGTCGTGAAGGTGTTTTGTCATCATCTCACTCCGGCCCTTTTTTTCTTCCTCACTTTAAGATGTATACATGACAAACACAACCACACATTCCTTGCAAACAGTAAATTTTCCATGTATTTATTTTTCCTATAAATCATTTGTAGTGATTTATTAAGAGATTTATCAGTGTGTACTCTACCTCAAAGTCTGAATGTCAAAGTAAATGTCACTGCAGATAATTTCCCTCTGGTCTAACACTGTGCCCATAAGTGCCTGGTAAACACCCTCCCTCTCTGCACTCCTTCTACCCCTAAAAGCCAAGTTACATTATGTTATAAAAATGGATGTGGCTGGTTAAAAAGTATTTTATCATCAGTCCAACTTACTTTACTGAGTGATCCTTTAAAAATGTATTTCAGTTACAGCTGTTTGCCAAGTTCAGTTCTATCTATGACTACAACGGGTTCATCAATGTTTTACACTTAGCTAAAATCATTCTAATCTATACATTTTTCAGGATACAATTTCTCTGTCAATGACGTAGAGACATGGATGTTTTTAAACAGTTACCGGAGCTCCTGTTCCACACTTGAGTTTCCCCAAAGGACCCTATTTGCCCTGAAAATAGCGTAACTTGTGCAACAGCCACAAAAAACAAACAAACTGAAAAGCCCTTTGCCCCTGCATTGTACCTGACCCCAGGTCAGCTAATCTTAATTCATGTTGCGCACACATACAGTGTTTGTGAAGGAATGCTGCAAGGTACACGGGTCCAAGTATTACGCTGGTGTCAAACTTCAAACAGGTGCATTAATATGACATGACAGTATACATTCCACATACTAACAACATACCCTCAGTGGTATAATATTCAGCATGTACCATTTCATGCTCAACACCAACGATAGTTGCAACAACAACAACAGCAGCAGCAGTAGCAGCAGCATGGGCGACATGCAACACACACAGGACATCATACACAGCAGCTCCACAAAATCCCAGAATGCAGCAGTGAGAGCAGCAGCAGGAACTCGCATGTGACAGAAGAGGTTCCTTCTCACTGCTCACCGTGTCTGGCCTAATTTACATATGGTTTTTATAGCAAATGCTTTCATGAAAAATGATTACCCACAATTCATCCGAGTAAAAGACAAGCAAAAGAGTCAAACAACAGTGACACATCCACAGGCTGAGCAAAGCAAAACAAATGCTTGTACAACTACAAGCTCGAGAAGCAGACACAGTGACTGAAGGTTTAATCCTGACGCTCAACAATGCATCACTTTATCCAAGAAGCAGTGTAATATATATTTTTTTGCAAGCTAACTAAAAAAATATTTTATTTAGAGCCTAATTATGTAAATATTAACCACTGCTACTGCAGGGCAGATTCTTTTAAGGGTGTTGAGAAGCTGTAGCTTTATTTTGTGTTCAGACCATCAAGATTAAAATACTTGGCACAATCCATTGGCTAGGGCTATTGTAAAATAGCTTTTTAACAGACTCAAAGTGAAGAATAATATTTTTCTTCAGATAACTTTTGTCTGCAATCTAGATTTTTCTTTTGTCCAGAGAGGTCTGAAGTCTGCGTTATCTTAGTCTGAAAGAATTAGGATATCTTCTGGATTACCGTGATAAACTAGATAAACTTCTCAAGTCCTTCTGTTAACTCATGGATACCTGAATGAGACGCAGCTCCAAGTGTCTCCTACAGTGTTTCTGTGCAAGGAAACAGGAGCCAGGTCAGAGGAAGAGCATGTGAGCCTGAGGAGAATGTGCAAATGCCAAACAATCCTGTGTCCTACTTTCAGTAAGGTGATAGTATTGACTTGGATTGAGTTATACGAGTTACCTTTATATGTAATACTTGGTCTAAGAAGGTATGCACAAAATGTCAATATCAAAGCAAAATATTAGCTTAAATAAATAATACCAATCAAATAAATTCAAGGTTTTCAATTGGATTGAAAATCTATGCAACTTGTTTTCTTTATCAAAGAGACTTATTGTCTTCCACAGAAAACCACCATCAGCAAATTCTTAAGCTGCATGTTCCTTTACAGAAAGGTTTCTGAACAAGAGAAAGTTTATGGTGGAAAACAGAGAATACAGTACTTGGTAACGCTGTGCTGAGCCATAGCCTCAGACAAGTTTGGCGACGGTGTCCCTCTGTGTGAAAAAGCCACCAGTGAACACCTGTTTGTATATTTGTTCTTGCACGGCTGAAGACTGTCAAATGTGGAGATAATATCATCGTCTGTAGTGTTGTGTTGAAAGTATCTGAGGAGCCTCTCTGTCACGCTGCAGTGCCATCATGTACTTCTGTTCCTGTGTTTCTACAGTGCTCGCCAGGCACAGCGAGTCTTTCCACCCACTCCGCATTTCTCTCACTATCACACAGATTATGCAGCTGAGTGTTATGTGTGGTCCTTTGACATGAGAAGAAGAGCTTAGCAGTACTTAATACTTAATGTACTATATATATATACTAGAAATGCTCAGGTTCTTATGGAGCTGTGTAGCATTAAAATGTAGCACTTTCCAATACTATTAATTTTGAAATGCAATTTATATAAAATGCATTAGAATGATAATAGATAATATTAACTGTAATTAAGTAACAATACCTAGCTTAAAGTCTATTCACGTAAAAGTACCCAACAAATCTACTTGAGTAAATGAAAAAATACTTAATTTAAAATTAACTATGAGTAAATGTTTAAATTTAGTTACTTTAAATTACTCGATGCAAAAAAGGACAAGGGTTTTCCATCCCCCTCCACGCAGCTCCCCCCCTTCCCAAAATCCTGTGCACCTGCCCTAACCCACACACGCCTCTGCAGTAAATGCATCTTCCGTGTGCTGATCGAATGTATTTCAAATCGTTATATTTTCACACGTTTTTAAAAAGGGCATTCGTAAATTCCATTCAAGTCTAGTCTAATACATCATTTAAGATGATTTCATTAGAGACGAACTGCAATTAAAATCATGCACTTTCTGACGTCACTGAAACGTTAGCATTGAAGCGAATATAACCGATATCACGAAGGCACATATTGCTTAACGGAAGAATGTTTTAACCAAACAATAAACACAAAGTTTGGGAAACACAGGAAAAAGCGCAGATACTCTACTTACCGCCTCGTGCGTTCGCTGGTTTGACGTGGAAGTTTCGACAGCGACAGCTCCGTCCACCAGGACAGGCACATTCTGCGCGATAAAGTTATTAAATCGTTTGCATTTGAAAACAAAGAGCTTTCTGAGATATGGCCAAAGATTTCCTTATCTTTCTGAGTCTTCAGCTCCACGATAGTTGTCTGCTTGGCAATCCTCAACCTCCATGTTTTGTTTGGGACCAGCCATCATCAAACGACAGGCGAGAGTTAGTCACCGTTATCCGCACGCCCACGCAATTAACGCAGGTGTTTTTCTGCGCATGTAATTATTTACTCAGTAGCGGGCTCTTTTCAAATGTAACAAAGTAAAATACTTGAGCCAAAAGGTACTTAAGTAAAAGTAAAATGACATTTTCCCAAAACTACTTAAAAATTACAAATTACTCCCAAAAACGACCATCCAAACACAAGAAAGAAAGAAGAAAAAGAATGACTATTTTTACTGGAATTTTTTTTTCTTTTTTTAAAAAAGCTTATTGTCAGTCAAAGTCTGCTTAACCAACATGTATGTGCATCCATTTTTCACAGCACTTTACAAAGTCAATGTCTTGCAGACGTTGAATAAAAACGCTCAGCACATATTGGTGTCAGCTGTCAGTCAGTGTTAAATATTTTCTCTTTCTTCCTCTTTGACTGACAGGTGTGGTAGAAGGCGACCTGGCTGCTGTGGAAGCCTACAAGACGTCAGGAGGCGACATTGCTCGACAGCTGACATCAGATGAAGTGCGTCTGCTAAATCGACCCTCGGCGTTTGATGACGGCTTCACGCTGGTTCACCTCGCCATCCGCTTCCAGAGGCAGGACATGCTGGCGGTGTTACTCACAGAGGTCAGTGGAGTTAACGGCACAGTTTTATATAAAAGAAAATGGCCAATATGTTTTAGCGGCGACAGATAATGAAGGCGATTTGTCATTTTGACAGATTATAATTCACACGATTGCTCTTTTAGTTGAAGCACAGACACAGACAGTTGTTATCTATCACTGCAACTTCGGGTTCAGCTATCGGCTGCACAGAAAGTCTCACTCCTCAGATATCAGTCCATCCAGGATTTAGCTTTTCCATTTACTTCAAAAGGCGGCAGGCAGCTCTCTTCAGGTGCTGGAGTCATAAATATTGTTTCCACTGTGTTACACACCGACCTGCTGAGACGAATGACAGTTACGGTCAAGGCAGTGTGCGTACCTTGATGTATCGGCCATCCTCTGTTGATGTCTCCACTGACTGAGTTTTTTTTTTTCTAATAGTTTTAAATGCATTAGAAACAGCAAATCTGAGATCACAGAGAGGAGACGCCCCGTTCTTTACAAATGTGGGTTGAAAGGAGAAAGAAATCTTTTATTTTGGCGTTTAATTCCATGCACACACTCCTGAACCGTCCTGGTTTTCTTACACAGGGGTCAGTGAGCGGCCACTGGGTCATTCCCACAGAAAATCAAATTAACTGACATGTGCTGGAACACTGAAGACCTTTTATCATATTTACCCAGAGGATGAGATTAGTCAGATATTTAGGTAAAACAAAAACTCAACTTAAATCAGCCAATCACCTTAGAGAACACTGATCTACTGTAGTGTCCAGTGAATCCACCTCATCCCAGCAAGCTTTGCTCTTTTGTTTACGTGTTGATTTTCAAATTCGGACGCCAGCGTCAGTTTCCCCTAATTGTCTCCTGTCCGCAGGTTTCTCAGCAGGCAGCTAAGTGTATCCCAGCCATGGTGTGTCCTGAACTGACGGAGCAGATCCGTCGTGAGGTGGCCGCCTCTCTTCACCAGCGCAAGGGAGACTTCACCTGTTATTTTCTCACTGACTTGGTCACCTTCACCCTACCTGCAGGTCTGCATTGCATCACCACACACACATACGCACACACACACACATATACACACGTGTGTGTGTAATTTCAGAAGAACCTGCATCTTCACAGTCGTGCCCTGTGGTTTACCCTGTGTGTGATACAACACTTGTTTACTTTACTTGTGGTGGAGGAAATTACACGTTGACATGTTTGGACAGAATGCTACAGTTGTGTCCCAGCTGCCAAAAGACAGCGGCTACTTCACGGACTGACTATTGTTGTCGCTGAACGCTGACCGTCGGCGCACGTCTCTGCTCGCAGCAGTCCTATATTTAGACTTTCTGTCAATTTCAGTCCTGAAAACTGTTTTCACCCAGTGCTGTTTCTGTGGAAATTTAAAGTGCGGAATGTTCGTTGTGGTCCCGTCTGCTGCCTGTAGCCGTGTGAAGGATTTTTGTTGTGCTCAGCGCTCAGAACAATGCAGACCTTGGCCGCGAGCCACTATAGAAAGCCACGTTGTTTGGTTCCACAAAGTCAAAGCGTCCATTTATTGCAGCAAAAGAATGAGCCGCTGTGTTCACGGGGAGCTCCGAGTATAGAGGGAAAACCAGAGGCTACTGTGGAAAGAACAAAACATGATGACCCAACCAAAACAAAGGTCAAATGTTAATGACCGGCGCAGTGTTAAGATGGGGTTTTCCCTTTCAGCCACTTCTCTCTACCACCTGCTCTGTTGATCCCTGTTGTTGTGTCATTCTAATTCTATGCTCAAATACTTCTAGACATCGAGGACCTGCCCCCAGCAGTTCAAGAAAAACTTTTTGATGAAGTTCTGGATAGAGACGTCCAAAAAGGTAAAAAAAAAAAAGTATTTTTGTACTTTTTGTACTTTTTTGCATTTTGAGCACCCACTGTGTACTGAGGGCTGTACACCTCCAACACCCAAACTGTCCTTTGAAATGTCAGTACACATCTTTAACCTGTAATTAATCCAGGATTCTGATGTGTTTCTTGTTTGCTCATCGTCATTGTGAGGTCAAAGTGTCAATACTCAACATTTCCTGTCCCCCTGTGGTCTTGTTCAGAACTTGAAGAGGAATCTCCCATCATCAACTGGTCCCTGGAGCTGGGGACGAGGTTAGACAGCCGACTGTATGCTCTCTGGAACCGAACGGCCGGGGACTGTTTGCTTGACTCGGTGTTGCAAGCCACGTGGGGCATCTACGACAAGGACTCGGTGTTGCGAAAGACCCTGCACGACAGCCTGCACGACTGTTCTCACTGGTCAGTCCTGTGGACGGAGGACAAGCAGAGCAGATTACAGCATGGATAGCATTCTGATAGTCCACTGAGTTTATTTCAGTATTTCATATATTTGTTATTTCCGCCAGCATTTCGAGTGTCTTAAACGCTGCGTTCACTTCCGTCCGATCTGCAGGTTTTACAGCCGCTGGAAGGAGTGGGAGTCGTGGTATTCCCAAAGCTTTGGGCTGCACTTTTCCCTGCGGGAAGAACAGTGGCAGGAAGACTGGGCTTTCATCCTCTCTTTGGCCAGTCAGGTATGTGCACAGCAAGGGAAGCAGGAGGAAAGAAGCTTGTTGTGTTGTAAACACGGCACACATAAGATACATGAATAATGTAAACAACTGCTGCGCTGACATCACAGGCGTACTTTGTGGCCGTTTTCATGTCCGTCTGAAGAAACCTGTGGGAAAACTGCATTAAAGATGCACCCGGCTGTGCTCCTGTCCTAATAAGTCTGGAGCAGTTTGGTTGCTAAGAGAGAAAAGAAAATCATTAGTGAGAATATTTTGATTGATGGTGGTTTGATTTATTGCAAAATAAATACAACACTAATTTGACCTTTGGACTGACTGTCAGGAAGGTCAAGTTGGTGTGTGCATCTCCGTTAGAAATACGTATGAAAGGTGCTTCATGTAGATGATGTTTTTTTTCCCATCAGTCATGTCTTCAGAAAGTGCATCGTTGTTGTCATCGGCGCTTCTCTTGGTGACTTCATAGACCAGGCATCTGGGCGTGTTGTTATTGCACTCGGGTGTGAAAGTTCAGCATTTGTCTGTTTTTCATGTGGGGAGTTTTCAGAGGTATCTTGGCAGAGGAAATCTTTTTTTTCCCTAATGTTATGTGTTTTTTCCCCCCACAGCCAGGATCCAGCTTGGAGCAGACGCACATTTTTGTTCTTGCACACATACTCCGCCGACCTATTATTGTCTACGGGGTGAAGTATTACAAAAGTTTCCGTGGTGAAACACTCGGCTACACCCGTTTTCAAGGTGAGTGTCTTCTCCTGCGACGCTGCTGTTGTTTCAGTCAAATGTCAGGTGTGGTCCAGCGGGTGTAGGAGGACTGGCCTTTGTTTTTTGTTTTTTTTAACAACCTCAAGCCTACACGTGTGTCTGCGTAACTGACATAACTGACATAACTGTGACCTGGCAGTGAGTGACATTTAGAGTCTCTGTGGGAAATCTTTAGAAAAAAGAGGCCTCATGAGAACGTAAAAAAAAAAAAGTTGCACACGCCCAAGTCCAGCCTCATTGGAACATATGTCAACCATCAGAACTCCAGAGTCCTACGGTGCTACGGTCCAACTTTACTGCCAGCAGTAAAACAGTCTGGAGTAACTTTGCCCTGTGAGTGAGGCAGAGGCAGAGGAGGATGAAAACACCGTGGACCGGCCAAGTGTTTGTGGTGAAGCCTGTCTGATGGATCAGAGATTTACTGTTGCCAAGAGCCAACCTA